CCCCCCCCGCCTCTCTCACACGCTCATTTGCTGTGGTAAAACAGCCAAACCTATACTCGAGATCCAAGAGTCGTCCAGGTTTGCATGCTTGGAGCTGCTCCCTGTTTCCTCTTTAGAGAAGCATTCAAATCTATTTCTTGACATTAGGTTGCCATTTCCAAGGTCACTGATTCAGTAGATGCTGTCTGCCCACAGTGTGCTAGGAACACTGTAGGTTCTAGAGATCGGTGAGGCTTTCAGTTTTATTAGAAACTGGTCTGGAAGAGGGCATGGACACAGCCTTTTGCGTCCCTGCTCGTTGGCTGTTTGTGGTTTCCAACTGCCCATAGCTCCATGCGGACTCCTTAGCCTGCCTCCTACGGCCTCTGTCATTGGGCTAAAGCACCACTCAGCACTGTTGCAATGCCCTCCTTCAGTCACCCTCATCTTCCTTTGCTTTTCTGATCCTTGTTTAGGGCCCAGTTCACACCCCTACTTCTCCATGTTCTCCTTGATCCCTCCAAACTTGAGTCCCTTGAGTTTCCCTGGAGCATCCTGGGGCACTGAGCTTTCACTACCTCATATTGCAATTATTTATATTCTTGTATCTTCTCCACCCAGAGCCATAGGCTCCAAGGACAGTGAGATTTCATCTGTATAGCTCTCTCCATGCCTTACATAAGAGAGATTTTATACGTACTGAAAGTATGCATGCTAATAAACCTGTCATTTAAGTAGGTTATCACCCACTGATTGAGTCAGAATAAATCTGGCAAGAGTAGTAATATCATACATTATTTTCAAATCACTTTCATTTCTTTCTGAGAAGTAGCGATACAGAGGCAACTTTCTACCTTTCAGCCTGAAATGAGATATTGAACAGAGTAAAATAAGTTAGGCGGGATGCATGAGGCACACCAGCTCTCAGTGCTGAGACTGCTCATCATTGCATAAAACACCAGAGGGTAGAAGGCACCTTGCATTTAGTTCATCCATCTTTATAATCTGAAAGGAGAAACTGAGGCATCCGTCATGCACAGCTAATAAATAACAGAGCTGGAACTCTGGGGTCTCCAGGTCCCAGCCTCACATATCAGTCACATCCTGCTGATTTCAGCTGTCTTTTGGCTTTCTGTTCTACATTGGTTTTGTGGAAAAAGGGCACCCAGATCTTAGTTACAGCCATGTCACTCAAATAACAGCATGTTGATAGAGCATTCATTATACACTTAAGTGGGGATGGGAAAATGGGTCAAGTAGTGACACTAACCTTGTGGTTCCACATATCTAGATGATAGCAGCTTCTGTTTGGGGTTTTCTTTACCCCCAAAGCTTTTTAAAAAATTATTTGTAATTGGCATACAGTATTATATTAGTTTCAGGTGTACAAGATAGTGATTCAACATTTATACACTTTATGAAGTGATCACCACAATAGGTCTAGTAACCATCTGTCCCCATACATAGTTATTATGATGTGGTGGACTCTGTTCCTATGTTGCATATTACATCCACATGACTTGGCAGCTTCTGTTTGTGAAGCCGGTTGTGGAAACCCGTTGGTGCCTTGTAGTAATTACATGTGAGGTTGGTGGTGGAACAGGGAGCAAGGTGTGGGCACAGAGCAGTGTCTCCTGATGGGCCATGCAGAGTTCTGGGGTTTCAGAAAGGCCTGGATTTGAATTCCAGCTTTGACTTACTTCCTGCGAGCCTGTGGTTAATTCCTTTGAATTCTCTGTTTCATCACCTATAAATTGAGGGCAGTTATAATGACCTCCTGTAACTATGTCCAGACAACAATTAACAGCAATTATGTTCTGGCTGTTGGGGTTGGACTGGGGGTGTCTGTACTTCTTACTTTCTGTAGTTTTAATTTTTAGTAATGAACACATGTAACTGTCATAATCAGAAATAAAGCCACAAAGATTTATATTGAACACCCAGCTCGGAGGGTTCTTATGAGTCTGGAGTGTCTGTGAAGCTGCCGGATTCTCCTGAGTGGGAGCTGGGGCCGTCCCAGGGTCCTGTCCCTGTGCCCACCTGTCCTCGTGTGCGACGGCACTTCTCCCCAGCTGTCCATGCTGAAACCCTGACTGCCTGAGTCCCGAATCCTCCCCTTCACCGAACACAGGATTGCCTGGCTTGTCACAGAGGGAGCAGAATTTTGTGTCTTCTCTAGCTGCCAGTATCTATCTTCAGGGCTTGTCACGTTCTCCTTGCTGTGGGTGGGTGCATGTCCTCAATCACAGAGCCTGAACACAGATAACTCTGCTCCTTTTTAATTTTCAGAGGCTTTTATTCCACCCCCTTCACTTTGGGGAGTACTAGTGTGTGCTTGGGAATGTGGCTTTTTCGGTGCCACATCCACCCACTTCACACAGTGCATCTCGAGTAACATACATCAAACCTTCACTGTTAACACTTGGAGCTGGCGTACTGGCTTTCATCCCGAGAAAATAAATAAGCCAAACCAAACCCACAGCACTTTAAAAATACTAATTAATCCTCACCACAGGCCTAGGCTATCCAGAAATGGCAAATCCCACTGCCCAATTTTATGTTTGGAGAAATTAGGGCAAGCGACTTTTTTAAGGCTTCCCAGGGCCCGATAACAGAAGCTGGCTTGAAGGGCTTGGGCTGGCCCTGCCTCTGGCAGAAGGGCGCCTGGCCAGGGCCAGCTGCCTCGCTGAATTCTCTTCTGCAGACACCATGTGGTTACTTGCCCAGAACCCCATTTACACATCAGCTTTTATTTTTTTCCTCCCTGGATTACAATGATGCCAAGTTCTCCCATTTCCAACTGTCCACTTATTTATTTGCTTACATTTATTTAATTCTGGTAGAGCCTAGAAATTTTAGCCATGGCTTCCAAGAGTGGCCTGGTAATTCTAGCTAGTTAAAAGGTCTATGTTGATTTTGACACTCAACACATAAGTAGACTACCTGCCAAATAGTCCC